CCCCAAAACCCCAAAACCCCAAAACCCCAAAACCCCGGCTGAGTTCTTGGTTATTGAACTAATTATTTCCCTAAATTAATCTTTAAGTAAAGTCTACTCCTATCTGGTCTGCACCGATGATGCTATTCTCATCGACTTCAAGTCCATCTAGTCTCTGAACATGCCCTCCTGTGATGTCTTGGAGCTGCTCTAGAAACTCTGTTGGTGTAAATATGAGGTTTCCACCAGGAACGATTGTGCAGTCTACTTCATGGTCATTTTGGAGTTTATTAAGAGCCACCAATTCATGGTGAGAAAGACCACCAATCACGAATATTATGAGTTTATTCTCAACAGCTGATGCATCCTTTTTATTTTTACCTCTCCAGCGAGCTCTACCTTTGAACTTAGATCTACCTTCAATTTTGGCAGTTCCAAAATTGTCAGTCCCATCAGGCTGATCACCGAGAAAAGGAAAGACACCAACATCAAGGTTTTGTTCACTGGCTGATTTGGCTATTTTGGTGATTGATGGAGTAGTTTTCAATATTTCATATTCAGTGCTAGCTAATCTGTCACTATAATCTCCAAATTCATCGATGTCCATGACTGGGACTCTTCTTCTGATGAAACCTGAAGAGCTTGAACCAAGGATAAGCTTGAGGTTTTCTCAGGCAACTTGACCATCTTGTCCAAGAGTACTGATAAGACTTTTTGCATCTTTGTCAGAGACTTCATATCAAGTGAAGTAAAGTAAGATGAGTCTGATATGGTCATCAGGGTGCAAAGACTTATAGATCCCATTTATCTCCTTGATAATATCTTTGTTAGTGACTTCATTCCCACTATCATCCACACCTGAGATAATTAACTGCTCTACCCTGATAAGGTCAATGAACTTCCTAGCCTTAAGAGTTTTGTCAACGAATTGGCACAGATTTAGGTGTTTAGAGTACATTGATAGTAATTCCTGATATTTTGGCATAGTTGAGAGCACATCTTTAAGATCAGTTACTTCTAATTGGTCGCCCTTTTTGATAGCATTAATATTCTTATTCTCTTGCACAAACCTACTGATTTCATTGTTTATGGAAACCATAGCGTTAGCCAAATGTTTGGTTTTGTATCGGTGCCAAACTAGGTCTCCTCTATCGAGGATGGCTTCAGATTTTCCATGCTTAGCTGCTTTAGATTCTTCTGAGCATACTCTATCAGCTTCTTCAGCACTGCTTACACTCTCATACACGAGGCACTCATAGGCATAGTCATGAAGCAATGGTGCAGTCATGTCAAAAGAGCGATCAAGGATCAGAAGTGTCCCTCTTTGCTGACTGAAGTTATGGTCTGGTGACTTTTTATTAAAGTCTTGAAAATGAGCGTTGACCGATTTAGCCACTTTCTGTGCTAGTTTTGATTTTCCTTGATACTGAATGTATGGCCTCTCATTCATTACAGTTCAGACTGTGAATATCTGCAAACCTATTTTTCCTAAATAACGAGCAGTTTCAACATCATTTAGGTTCATATTGAATAGACTGAGGGATTCTTTCTGATCCAAATGAAAAATATTATCTTCATAGAGGTTAATGTCTACATTTAACTCTGATAGTGAACTGATTCTAGAGATTAAACCCTCGTTTTGAGAAAGATTATCCATTAGTGCATCTGATAATTTGGTAGAGAAAAATACATGAGCGCTAGCATATTGCGGATTATCAGGATCCTTAAAATCTTCTATTATAGAGTCAATAGAGCTCTGTGTAGGAGTGACAAAATAAATCGCAGGAGTACTAGGGAAATCCTTCCTGATCAGTTCTAAATTTTCAAGGTGAAAGACATTTTTGCTCATGATTTCAAACAAGCTACAGATGCCGGCAAATAGCTCCCGAGTTCTTTTGTCCATCACCAGGATCAAATAATCGTTATTGGCTCTTTCTAGTTTCTTAACTGTTGATATCATATCTTCAAGGAGACGGTGTCTCGCATACTCTCTCAAGGATATAGGGGAAGAGGCCTTGCCTTCTTCATGAGTTCCTTCCATTTTGGTAATTTTAAATATAATTTAGCTAACAATTACACAAAATTTTATAGGGGTTTTGGGGTTTTGGGGTTTTGGGG